GGCTCATGCCTGTAATCCCAGCACTTTGGGAGGCCCAGGTGGGTGGATCATGAGGTCAGCAGATTGAGGCCATCCTGATTAACATGGTGAAACCCCATCTCTACTAAAAATACAAAAAATTAGCCAAATGTGGTGGCAGGCGCCTATAGTCCCAGCTACATGGGAGGCTGAGGCAGGAGAATTGCTTGAACCCTGAAGGTGGAGGTTACAGTGAGCCGAGATCACACCACTGCACTCCAGCCTGGGCAACAGAGTGAGACTCTATCTCAAACAAAACAAAAAAGAAATGCAGGAGAGGTGGGGAAGGATGCTAGGGAAAATAAGCAGGAATTGTCTTGTTAAATATGTATATAATATATCCATAGTTACGATTAGACATAGCTATGGCTATAGATATAGATGTGTATATGTGTATACACATAGGTGGTAAGGAAAACTGAACTATGGGTATAACATTTGTTGTCTCTATGGTGGGTTTCTTTTTTCTTTTTTCTTTTTTCTTTTTTTTTTTTGAGACAGAGTCTCACTCACCCAGGCTGGAGTTCAGTGGCATGATCTCAGCTCACTGCAATATCTGCCTTCTGGGTTCAAGTGATTCTCCTGCCTCAGCCTCCCGAGTAGCTGGGACTATAGGCACACACCACCACGCCTGGCTAATTTTTGTATTTTTAGTAGAGACGGGTTTATGTTGGCCAGGCTGGTCTCAAACTCCTGACCGCAGGTGATCTGCCCACCTTGGCCTCCCAAAGTGCTGGGATTACAGATGTGAGCCACTGCGCCCAGCCTATGGTGGGTTTTTTGTCCTACTTGGATTTTTTCTATAATTAATATCATTAGTTATATAATAAATAAAAGATTTAAAAAGAAACTGCACAATTTTTTCCTAAAAGCCTTTCATTACTTTCCTAACATAGATTTGCCCCTCCCACTAAAGCTATAGGCATGAGTTCTTTGACCTACAATGTAATTTGGAGCAGCCTCCTCTGCCGAGTACACAGCAGCTCTTCCATGTGGCTAGGTTGCCAGCCCATTTACATATCACATTATTTATGATGGCACTGGATGAAATACCCTGATCAGTAGGGTCTGGCTCATTGTCACTGTTCCAAAGAGACTTATCCTTATACAATGTCATAAAAAAGGAACCCATTATCAGGGTCCAGGGAGACATAGGGAGGTCCCTATAGTGTTGTCAGTCATTTTTAGTCTTGGGAGAGTCTTCCCTTCTCCCCAGCATTAAGGATGTCATATTTTTTCAACAACAGGAAAACCATTCCTGAGGGCAGGGTCTGTGGTTGTCTTTTTCCTTGCTGTGTCTTGGTACCTAGTGCACAGCAGGACTCTAGAGGAGTAAGTGATGCCACCTATGCTCCTTGGTTTCTCTGCCCTATCCCCTGTGCCCAGGGCACATGTTCAGAGGGTGGCATGGAATCCCTTGATTTTTTGGAGTCTGTGGGCCAAATCCCCCACTGCATCACAGGAGTCCCTCTGAGGCCTGCAAGCCAGGTGTGACCAGCTGTAATCCCCTCTCATTTCAGAGTCATTCTCCCTCCTCCTTCGCTTCTCCTTCCCTGTCCCCACTCCGCAGTTCGGTGTTCACTCTAGTTTCCTCCATGACTTGACTGAGGGACTCGGGTGACTCCTCCCGGGAGATGACTCTCGGCACTGCTGGAACATTTCAAACAACCCAGGTCTCTGTTCCAGTCTTACTGATTAAGTCCATGGTCCTCCTCCAAGCATAAGGCTGGTCCCAACCATAGTCTCAACAAGAGAAAGGGAAAAAGTGGCCAAGCTGTTTTCTTCCTCTGTCCTTGTCCAGAGAAAGTATTAGAACCCCAGGAGCACAGGAAGAGGAGAAACGAAAGAAATGAGCACAGACTTCCCATTCTCACCACAGAAGTGATTTTTTTGGTCACTAGGTCTGATCAGAGTTCCTCTTCTGTTTGGAAGAGGAGGGTTCAGAAGCCTGAGTGTCCAGGAGAGCTGCCCGCCTTCCTGACTGGAAAGTGTGGCCAAGGCACCTGCCTGCTTCTCTGTCTTTTCTCCTGTCAGGCCAGGTGCCAGATAGAACATCCAGAGATTTGCACAGGAGAGATACTCAGGAAATACCTGCAGATGAGCATGCTCATAGGAAGACGGCTCGTGACTCCCTCCCTCTCCACAAAGTGGGAAATGAAACTTCTTATGGTTTGGGACTTTTACATCCACCTCCTCTGAAACCCCAGAGGGCCCACAACCCAGGATTCCATGCCTTTGCTCAGCTTCCTCATGCTGGATCATCCTTTTACCTCTCAGTATTCTACCTACCTGAGCCTCCATTTCCATCACTTGGACTAAATGCTCCCTGCCCCAGCCCCTTCCTATGCCATCGGCGCAGCCTCTTCCTATGCTATGGGCCCAGCCTGCTGAGGCTTCCTTATCCTTTCCTGGGACCAGTGAGAGGGCGTCTGGGGGCTCTATAAAGAATAACTCATGCCACAAACCAGCAGAGAAAACCCAACTTCTTGACCTAGGGGAAAGGGACAAGACACTCCCAAGGCATGTTGTGTGGCAGCTTCTTTCCTTCAAACGCTGCAGGAGGAGACCAGGACCCCTGCAAGGCCTCTTCTACCAGGGTCTTAAGTAATTTGGATTCTTCTCTATCCCCAGGCCCAGAAATAGGACAGGCTGTGGATGAAGGGCCAGGAGTCAAGAGCAGAAGGGCAGAGATGGCTCTGGAGTTGGGCTGGGTCCTGAGCATGAGAGTCCAGAAGTGGAACATTCTAATCCTGTCTAAGCCCTGACAGAACCAACGCTCTGCAACCACACGAGCCACCTGAAGAGAGTGGGAATCTTCATGGGCGCTCAGAGGCAGGCAGTGAGGTTGAGCCAGACCCTGAGGTTTGGGACTATCGAACATCAAAATTTAGAGCAGACAGCAGGTAGGGAAGCAATGAGACAGAACAAATGAGACACCATCTTTGTTGCCTGGCTTCCTTCCCAGAGCTTCCCAGTGTGGGGTCCCCTCTGGGTTCCCTCATCCAGTCTGAGAAGTGACTCCAGCCTGAGGCCTGGTTAACTGGAGAGAGAGAGCATCGAGGGCCTGTAACTACAATGAGCTGCACATGGGCACGGGCTGAGCGTGCAGCCACCATCCTCCCAAGTACCAAAGGCAGCAGGAGCCCCTGAAAGTATAGGTAGATATTTCCTTGGCCCTGCTAGCTTAACCTCTAACCCTGGTCCCTGATACAGCCTGTCATCCAGCTCTACTGGCTCAGCCTCAGCAGGCCCAGGACAGCTTTCTTGTCCTGTGGCCAGAGCTTTTGTTCATTCCTGAGTAAGGAGTAAATCACACTTCCCCTTATGCTTTTGCTTTGAAGATGAATGAGAACTTCTGGAGATAGCGGAAAGAAGCAGCAGCTTCTAGAAGGCAGATCCCAGGCCACAGACTGTGTAAACATCAGAGTGGCATGATTAGCTATGAAGTCTCCCAGTCACTTACCATTCACCCATCCGTCCATGCGTCCTCCATCCATTCATTCATCCATTCACCCATCCTCCAATTATCTGGACAAACTTCCTTCTTTTTTCTTTCCTTCCCTCCCTCTTTCCTCTCCTGTTTCCTACATTCCAAGAAATATTTTTATAGAGTCTGCCATGTGCCAAATTTCTCAGATTTGGCAGACTTCTTCAAAGCATGAGCAGTCACCCAGGAGAAAATTTAGTCCTTCACTGAGCTCCAAATAGGCTCCTCTGTGCCCTGAGCTTCTTGCACATATGGAACTCTCTATTCAGGGTTACAAGGAAGGAGAGAGGAAGTTGTGGACAGAGAGAGAGGAGAGAGAAACAGAAAGATTCCTAGTCTGACGTTGCTGAGCACCCCTACTTTGTTTGAAAAGCTCACATGCTACAGGAAGCAGGGAGGAGAACTCAAGTCTTAGGTTTACATTTTGAATCTCCAAGTTGCATATTATAAAGGAATATTGTATCAGCCAAGATGCGCTAATAACAGGAAGCAGAATATTCTATTGCAATGGTTGCTTCCTGGCTTCCAGGCTTCCCCCAACCAGTCTGTGCTCCTCACCACGATCAGAGTGATGTTTTTACAGTGTCCCTGTCCTTGTCTCTCTCCTGCCTGAAGTCCTTAATTGGCCTCATGTCACCCACGAGCTAGAGGTCAAGCTCCTTGACATGATCAGAAGGATCTTCATAATCAGACCCCAGGTGCCTCTTCCACCCCATGTGAGTCCCCTTCCTCACATTTTTGTGTATATTTTACGTTCCAGCAATATTGCAACTATTTTCAGTTTGCCAAGCACTCCATGCTATCTTAAGCTCCATCCTTTGGCATATGCTTATCTTTCTACTGCAGTTTTTTTCCATTATTCCATTTCACACGCTTCTTTCAACTGGGCATATTTGTCTCTTGTGCAATTTATTTGCTCATGTCTGTCTTTCCCACCAGACTGTGAGCTGCTTGGTGCAAGGACTGTGAGTTATTCATCGCTGTGGCCCTATGCCTGGTACAGCATCAGTACCTAGAAGGCACTCAGTCCGTATTTGTGGGGTGAATGGATGGGTAGATGGGTGAAGAGAATCTTACAAGAGAAATGGGATAGCTTTGGGACAAGATGGTTAATGTATCTATGTAACAGACCCCCAGAGAAGACAACAAATGGCCTCTTTCTGAAAGCTCAGACTTCTGAGGAGGGGAGTAAGCCAGACAAGGTATCTAGTCAGGAATAGGGAAGTTGGGATGATATGGTGACCTGGTGTGGGACTGACTTCCTGTTTCCTCTAGATAAGAGCCCTTGGAGAGACAGGCAGCCAGAAGCACTTGTGCTTCCAGGGTAAGGGTGAGCGCTCAGGATGACGGCGGAGAGGGAGGTCCCTGATGCACACTTCACTGTGGACAAACAGAACATCTCCCTCTGGCCCCGAGGCAAGCCACAGTCACTGCTGAGAACCTGCTCCGTGTTCTGTGTGCAAACCTGCCCTTTGCTACTCCTTCAACACACATTTTCTTCTTCTTCCAACAGAGCCTCCTCCCAAGTCTGGTCCATCTCTGTTCCCGGCGAAAACACCCACAGTCCGTGCTGCATTAATCTGCCTGACGCTGGTCCTGGTCGCCTCCATCCTGCTGCAGGCCGTCCTTTGTAAGTCCTCATGTTTCATCGTCTGGGCTTAGCCCCTCTCTGTGGCCAGCCGGCTCCCTCCAGATCCAGACCACTTCCCTGCTCTCCAGGTTTCTCCTGCCTCCGACTTTCATTTGTCTCCTTTCTCCTCTTTCCATGTGCAGTAACAGGGTGTGCCGCCCCCAGTACGGTGAGCTGATGCTCTTTCCCTCCCAATTTCTGGGAGATTATTGGGATCAGCATTTGCACATTGGTGCTCAAGGATACATTCTTTTGTCCTCAGGAAACATTTATCTAGTTTTTCATGCTGTGCTATTTTCTCCCCCTCGATCCCCCACCAATCTGAGCTCTGCTCCTTGGATTTGGAGCCTTGTGGACAGTCCCTGACAGTGCAGTGTCTCCTGACCCTGTGAAGGACTAAGCCTCATGTGTCATTGGCCCCAACTCACCAGATGGAGAGCCTGACCAATGAGCCAACAGATCTCCATGACTCAGTCCCCTCAACAGGACCCGTTCGTGCTCTCTTCATTCTCCTGTCCCTGAAAAAATCATGTCTAGGGAGCCTTCCTACTCATTTGGTGTTGCGGGGTTTATGTTTCTTCCTCTTCTGGCTCTGTCAGGCTTCATGCCCTTTGCTGCTGGCAGAGCCTTCTTCCTCCTGCCAGGGCTCCAGCAAGCAGAGCAAGGGGACCCGAGAAGCTGTTGGGTTTTGTTTTCTCCCTCTGTGGCCTCGGGACATACTTGGTCTTAGACTTGTAGGCTCTGAGCAGAGTCCCCCTTCCCCCATCCTAGACCCCTGGCCTCTAGCATGGCATTTTCCTCAGGGCTCGCCTTTGAGCCTCTTGGTTTATCTTTGATCCTCTCTCTGGTACCCAGGCCTGGGACCTGAGCAGAATGTGAAAGTGGGTAGGGCAAGGGAAGGGGAGAAACAGTTTTGTAATCGCTTTTTCCATGTTTTCTGGAGAAGAAGCCACTTCTAGATTAGTGGCTGGCTCTTCCCATGGTCACAGAGGGGCCCATGGACAGATGTGAGGGAGTGGTGCTGTCCTAGCAGACAGCCACTGCAGGGGTTTCTGAAAGCAGAGGGATGGCAACCAAGGGGTGGGGTTCAGCGGGAATCAAGTTCTGGGGAGAGTGACGGGGCTCATGGAGGGCACCCCTTTATCAAATGTTCCATGAACACTCAGAGAAATTTCAGGACTGGTTTCTAACCCCTGCTTCTGCTTGCCTGTGAAATTTTCTCACAGAGAGCCTGTGTTTCATCAATCTCCCCATTGTCTGTATCCACCTGTGTTCCTAGCACATGGTAGGTGCCCATTGCACATTTGTTGTATGTTAATGAATGATTGGAGGGTTGGGGTGGCCCATTGGACTGTCCTGGTTCTTTGGGAAGCTTCAGCCTGTTCCTTCCCTTCCCTTCCTTTGATCGACCTGACAACAGCCCCACTCCTGTCCCTGGGGCTCCCCTCAGCTGACCTCCTGACTTTCTCAATCCCAGATCCCCGGTTTATGGGCAACATATCAGATGTAAAGACCAATGTCCAGTTGCTGAAAGGTCGTGTGGACAACATCAGCACCTTGGATTCTGAAATTAAAAAGAATAGCGATGGCATGGAGGCAGCTGGCGTTCAGATCCAGATGGTGAATGTGAGCCTGGGTTATGTGCGTTCTCAGTTCCTGAAGTTAAAAACCAGTGTGGAGAAGGCCAACGCACAGATCCAGATCTTAACAAGAAGTTGGGAAGAAGTTGGTACCTTAAATGCCCAAATCCCAGAGTTAAAAAGTGATTTGGAGAAAGCCAGTGCTTTGAATACAAAGATCCGGGCACTCCAGGGCAGCTTGGCCAATATGAGCAAGTTGCTCAAACGACAAAGTAAGTGACTCAGAAAATTACATTGAAGCTGACCAGCGGCCCATGGGATCTTACCTGTCCCAGACCTGAGGTCACTGGGCTGGTGGGTTAGGGAGGAGGCTGGGGGGAAGAGAGGGGCAGCCATGGACTAGGAAGTTAAGGAGGGAGGGCTTGAGGTTGGGAAGGACTTAGGTGCGGTTAGGAGAAAAGAGACCAGGGTCCAGCTAGAGTTCCCACACCAAAGTGCAGAATGTAAAAGCATTAGGGCTGTTCACCCCGGCCCATACCTAGTCATTTCTCATCAAGTTCCTTTCTAGAGTCCAGGGGCTCAGCCACTTGTCATGGCCGATGGAGGGTTGCTTCCCCTCATGGGAAAGACACTCTTTGTCCATCCTCTTGCATTCTAACCTCTCCAGTCCCAGACACTCTATTAGTCTCTGCCTGACTTTCAGGATTTGAAAGAGTGTCCCAAATCCCCTACACAAGGACCCAAGGACACCAGAGCACAGCTCCATTTGCTGCTGTCTCTGAGACCTCATTCAAGTGCCCCCACCAAGCCAGCACCCCAAGAAATCAAGAATACCAGCGTTCACTTTTACCTCTTGTTCTCTAGATGACATTCTACAGGTGGTTTCTCAAGGCTGGAAGTACTTTAAGGGGAACTTCTATTACTTTTCTCTCGTCACAAAGACCTGGTATAGTGCCCAGCAGTTCTGTGTGTCCAGGAATTCACACCTGACCTCGGTGACCTCAGAGAGTGAGCAGGTGAGTGTTGTGCCTGTGGGCTCTGGGAAGGGGGCGTCTGAGCACTGGGCCCGGGAGGATGGGCAAGATTATACTGTGCGAACAAAAATCCCCAAATATTGATGACCTAATGAAGAAGGATTAGTTTTCGGTACCATGTCCAATAAGGGCCAGCAAGGGGGCTGTGCTCACTGTGGCTACTCAAGGACCCAGGCCGAAGGAGTCTTCATCTGAACATGTTTCCACAATTGCTGGGGCAGGAAAAGGGAACTTGACATATTGTGCAAAGCTTCTGCCCAGATTTGACATACCTCATTTTTGCTTACATTTCACTGGCGTAAGTTACGTTAAGTAAGTTAAGTAAGTGATGCAGTACTCCTGGACTGGGAGGATCCTGGATTCCAGTACTCCTGGAACAGGGCAGAGAGGAGCTACTTTCCATGTGCCCAGGAAAAAAGAAATATTTGTGAACAGCATTAATGATTCCACATGACTCAAGAAGTCTCCTGCCTGGTGAGGCAGAAATTGGGCAGGCCCTTTTCATCTGGGTGGTGAGATAGCAGCTCAGGTCAAAGCCTGAGCTCTGGAGTAGTTTTAAAGCCCTAACCTTGCCATCTAACTAGTCCTAGCAGCTTGGGTGGAATACCCAACTTCACTGGGCAAACTTCACTGGCCCTCACTTGATGAAACATGCATGGTGATGGCACCTGCCTCAGAGGAAAGGAGTGAATGCATATGGAGGACTCAGCACAGTGCCGTATGTGGATTCAGGTGTTGTCATATGAACCATTCTCTTGCGGTCCATGCTCTGGAGTTCAGCTGAGGCCTTCCTGTGCTTCAGCACCTGCTTCCTGAGTGGCAGAAATGCTTAAGCCCTGAGCCTGTTAGCTGCAGGGCAGGGACACATCATAATCTGGAAGATGAAATCTGGGCTCTGGGCAAGGGCAGGAAGAGGCTTGAGAGGCCAGTGTGTGCAGTGCGTCTGTGGGTCAGGGCTGTCACTGAGCACAGGTGAAGAACAGCCAGAGACAGGTGATCAAGCTCGGAGTGTGACCGCACCTCTGCTTATCCTGTCTTTCCTACAGGAGTTTCTGTATAAAACAGCGGGCGGACTCACCTACTGGATTGGCCTGACTAAAGCAGGGACGGAAGGGGACTGGTTCTGGGTGGATGACACGCCATTCGACAAGGTCCAAAGTGCGAAGTAAGTCCCTGGAGCCCTCCCTGCCAGCCTGACTTTCCCCGACCATGGCCAGGGCATGAAGGGAGTGGGGGCGATATTCCCCATGAGACAGGGTTTCCGATTCTTCCCTGTGCTAGGGTGACAGAAGCATTGCAACCAAGATCTAGCGCAATCCTGTCACTAACTGGCTGTGGGATCTGGGCCCTCCACGCCCTCTGGGGTGTGGCAGCAAGGCCTTCTACCTGGCCAGCTTCAGCAGGGATCCTGTCATGAGTCTAGGTCTTCACAGTGTGGGTTTGTGTAGGGACTTGAGAGTGGTGGGTTGGTTTTGCCTGGACTTGGGGCGTGAGTGAAAGCTTAGAGGTCTAAGTCTCGCTAGTCCCCTTCCTCTTAGGCTTGGGTGCAGACATTTACTATGCCATTCCCTAGGACTCAAGCTGGGGTTGAGTTAACTCATTTTTCACTGGAAATAAGTTCTTCTTGGTTTTCCACTTTGTAAATCCATCCTTATTTCTCCCTCTTGGTAGGTTCTGGATCCCAGGTGAGCCCAACAATACTGGGAACAATGAACATTGTGGCAATATAAGGGTTTCCTCGCTTCAGGCCTGGAATGATGCCCAATGTGACAAAACGTTTCTTTTCATCTGTAAGCGACCCTACGTCCCGTCAGAACCGTGACAGAACAGGCTCCCAAGCTCACTCTTTGAACTCCAATGCTTGTCAAACATGAGGAAATGCCTCTTTCTCCCCCAGACTCCAGGAGGACTTTGCATGTTAATTTTTCTTGCTTCAAAATTGTCCCACAGTGGCATTCTGGAGTCCGTCTGTCTTGGCTGGAAATTCTCTGACCCCATGGAGGCAGCTGGAATGGAAAGGAGAACTCAGGTTAAAGTGGGAGGGGTGGGTAGAGAGGATTTAGAAGTTCCAATTGCCCTGCTAAGGAGGATTAAGACCCGTAATCCGGGACAACACCTGGGGTTTTCCACTTCTTCAGAGAAGCCTCAGCTTCATCACATCAAAGTTGTTTCAGAGCAACCAAGCAATTCTGCTAATATTGTCATTCAGGGCTTTTCTTGGCCAAACCCTGTAGAATTTCCACGTGTCTGGTTAGCTGTGCTGGCAGCTGGTGGCTGGCTGTGTTTGCAGTGGGAATAGCTCTGTTCTTGGAGATCCTGCTCATGGTATATCCTCAGTGGCTTCTTCATCCACATCATCTAAAGCCTGAACCTCTTCTCTGGTTCAAGTCAGCGGCTGACATGGACTTGTATCTCCTTCAGAACTCGGCCAGTACCCAGACTCCCTTCTCCTTCCACTCACTTAGTACACCCGGGTGCCCAGCCCTGCCTTCCGCCCAGCGTCCATCCAGCCTCTGTCCTCACCTCCCCGGCACCTCCTCCTCCTTCTGCATTTCCTGTCTTCCTGTGTCTTGTGCGTGGGAAGCAGCCTTCAGTGCTTTCATGAATTCGCCTTCCAGCTTCCTCAGAATAAAATGCTGCCTGGGTCAAGGCCTCACTCCACGTGCACTTTTTCATTCCTGGTTGTCCAGGTGAATATGTGGGAAAGGCGGTCTCCTCTGCTGGACATGAAGTTCTAGAGTATCATTAGGAAACATCTGGGGAGTCAAAAATAACAAGGACTAGGGAAGTTCCAGCCCTGGAAATGCCATAAAATGTGACTAGTACTTATTTCTAGTTTTTATTAAAATAAAGTAGAGCAAGGTCTCCAAGGTCTCCAATGTCACGATCTTGGTGGTCTTTCGTCTTGGGTGTTTACTGGACAATCTTCTAGTCTCTAGCTCAATTCCCAAGAAAGAGTTTCAGCAGGTTTCCCGCTCTTCACAGAGACCCAGTTCCACAGGCATCAATTCCAAATCTCAAGTCCAGTGGCCAAAGCAGGAATCCAGGCAGCAGCCACCACAGAGAGGAGGGGAGAGTGGAGTGAGCACAGGTCCTCATTAGGGTCCACAGGAAAAGATGCTTCATTAAATAACTGTGACCAGCAGTGTGTCGTTCTGGGTGCAAATGAGTCAGAGCTGAGGGTACAGGCTTGCATTGTAAGACCTGAAATAGCATGTGCTGCGGTGACATTTTATGCCTCACAGGGCCCCAAAGACCTAACCCTGAGTTCCCTGCCTCTCCCCAGATATGCCCTTGCCCTCGGTCCTCACCTGGCTAGTTTCCTATCGTCTGGGACCAGCTGCACTCCACCCAGTTTTCTACTTAATGGATTTCACTTCTCTGCCAGCCTGATAAACTATTCAAAAAAGCCAATCACATCCTCCTAAGGAACCCAGGGCACCTCATCATTTTGTTACTACAAGGCCTGTCTCCCACAGCCCTGGCTGGTTCACTCTGCTCCTGAGGGTGACCCCGTGTGGCCCTGCATGGCTTCTGACATCTTTCCCCACTAGTAAACTGCTGTCAATCTCACCTGCCCAGTGTCAAATGTCGTGTTTTGGCCATCTTGTCGTATTTAGGGCAGGGGATCCCTCCCTCACCAATGGAGGAAATGGGAGGTGACAAAAACAAGGCTGGTTTGTGATCTCTGGTTGGTTTTGGCAAAGAGATGAGCTGGGAAAATCAGACCATTTCTCTGGGAAAGAATTTGAACCAGGAAGTAGCAAGGGGATGAGGCTGTTAACAGAAGGAAGTTGAGCTGGAAGGCCCTGAGTTAGAGAAAGGCTGGAGGGGCCGTCACAGGGCACTGGAAGAAACTAGCAATGAGCAGAAGCTACAAGGCAGAGGAAAGACATGAATGCAGGCCGGGCTCGGTGGCTCACGCTTGTAATCCCAGCATTTTGGGAGGCCGAAGTGGGTGAGTCACCTGAGGTCAGGAGTTCAAGACAGCCTGGCCAACATGGTGAAACCCCATCTCTACCAAAAATACAAAAATTAGCCGGGCGTGGTGGTGGGTGCCTGTAATTCCAGCTACTTGGGAGACCGAGGCAGGAGAATCACTTGAACCTGGGAGGCGGAGGTTGCAGTGAGCTGAGATCCTACCACTGCACTAGAGCCTGGGTGATAGGGCAAGACTCTGTTTCAAAAAAAAAATTAGTGACTGCAGAGGATTATAGCTGTCAGAGAAAAGAGAATGGCTCGAGGAGTTGCGATGGAGGTCCTGGAGGGCAGGCTGAGGGGCTCCGGCTGCTCCTGTTCCCGGTGCTGCCTCAGATCCTCCCAGCCCTTCTGATCCTCCTGAGTTCTGTGCATGGGGACCTTATGAGGCTTGTGCTCCTGACCCTGCCAGTTGCTTTTTCTTGAAACTGAAAGAGCCTGAGTCAGTGAGGATGTGTTTTTATCTGGAGTCTGTGCCCCAGCCTGGACCCAACAAGTGCAGCATTGCCTTGGCTTCCTCCCTTGAGGAAGCTGGGACACCTGTCGTTTTGCTTTGTCATGTGATCTTGGCTGCCTACCCCACTGTATGCACGTCTTACTTCTCCAGGGAGGTCACTACATGGGCACCTGCCCTTCTGCTGGCAGTGTGGCCTCGCCCAGGAAGTCCCACCATTGATAGTGCTGTAGTCCAGTCTCTAGCGGGTCTTGGGGCATTATCAATACCTGGGCAGCTCCTCAGGTCATGGACCCCACAGTATTTCTTGTGAAATTCTGGGGATTTTTCCACTGTCAGGTGAAAAGTTGGGAGCCAGGGACAGGTGAGAACTTTTTCTCAGTCAACTTGGGTATTTATTGTATTCCGTAAGTTTTTTTTTGTTTGCTTGTTTTCTTTTTTTTTTTTTTTCCTGATTTGGCAGGTTAACAAGGCTTGACATGCCCTCTTTCAATGTTGCAATAAAATACTCTTGAAAAATTTATCCTTTTGTGCTTGAATATAAAAGAAAAAGAGAAAAAAATACTTGATTCACCCCTACTGACCAACTAGTCCTAATGCTTGTGAACATGTACTATAATATTTTATTTTTCTGTTTTTATGCTTTATTGATCTATCTATAGTTACTTCATTTTCTCTTTCTTTGTCCTCTCTTACTTTCTCTTTCTCTCTCTCCTCTTTTTCTCATATTGTATGAGCTATGCTTTCTTTGCTTTAATTTTCCCAGTGCTTTGGAAGATAAACCATTATTTAGGTGGGGCGTGTGTGTGTGTGCGCACATGTGTGTGTGTGCATGTGTGTGTGCACGCATGTCTGTGTGTGTGCATGTGTGTAGTCTAGCACTTTCCCTTTTTCTTACAAAGCATCCTGGCTTCTGGGATTATTGGCATTATTCCTGGCATTGACACCCTGGTTGGGGCTGGGCCCTGGGCATGGGGGCTGCCATTGGCTCCCTTGGTGACCCCACCTGGCCAGGGCTCCGGGCCGCCCCCAGCAGGGGAATGCATTGCCTCCTTCAGAGATTTCAGGCCCTCCTTTCTCTCTACCTCTCTGTTCACACCCCAGACCTCCAAGAGCCTCCCCTCCTATCTGTCCCAAGGCAACTTCCTTCTTTTTTTTAGGTTTTAGAATGAATCTCTGTTTTGGGAGGAGAAAACACAGGTTACCCAATTTATGATAAACTCAGTGTGTTTTCAACAAGGAAATTTTTATTGTTCTATGGGAGCCTAAAGCGAAAGGATTTCCTAAGGCTTCCTGAGGAAGAGGCACATAAGCTGGGCCTTGAGAGGTGAGCAGAATTTAGGCAGTGAGAGGGATTGGGGCACAGACGAGGAAAGAGAGAGGCAACAGAAAATACAGAGGAGTGTGACAGGCCTGAGGCAGCAAGAGAAGTTCAGTCTAGCTGGAGTGTGGTGTGGGGTGAAGCAGGGGGCAGGCAGCTCTTCGGGGGCCTTCAAAGCCAAAGGAGGGGTTTTGGATTTTTATTTGAAGGACAACAAGGAACCACTGAAGTGTTTTAGGCAGATGAGTGACATGATCCCAATTGTTCTGTTTTTTACTTAGTGTTGAAGAAGTGTGACAAATGATTTGTTACATTTGAAAGCTTAAATGCTTCCAGGAATAACAAGATCTACAGATATGCAATAGAACTATGTCACTGGAAAACATTTGTCACACTTTTGTGGTTCTTCTTTTATCCTGAGCAGCTTCTTGTTTTAGGTATCTTCCTGTATTTTGAATTGACCTTCTCAAGTTAGAAGCAGAACTAACACTTACAACCTTACTTGCAGAAAAGTGCAGGCATGAGGTTAGATGCTTTGGGAGGCCCTTTGGGAGGCCAAGGCAGGAGGATCACTTGATGCCAGGAGTTGAAAACCAGCTTAGTCAACCCAGTGGGACCCTGTCTCCACAAAAAATACCAAAAAAATTAGCTGGGTATGGTAGCGTGGACTTGTAATCCTAGCTTTTGGGAGGCTGAGGTGGGAGAATTGCTTGGGCTCAAGAGGTTGAGGCTGCAATGAGCCATGATCACACCACTGCACTCTAGCCTGGGCTACAGAGCAAGACCCTGTTTTAATTTTATTTAATATTTACTTATTTATTTGTGTATTTATTTATTTTTGAAGTGCAGTCATGTGACCCAGGGACCACCAGTCGGATTCAACCATGCGACACCTTTGATTTGTCCTGGTGGTTTTTCAGAGCTAAGACTAGATTTAGTGCCATCATTCCCAGAACCAGGTCAGGGTTCTTGGAGCATTCCTCCTGCCAGCATAGGCTCTAAAGCTTGACTCTGGTCTTCTGAGATTCCATAATTACTACCTTGTGTCTCATTTTAATTTCGAATTTTTTATTTTATTTATGTATTTTTTTAAGACGAAGTCTCGCTCTCTCTCCCAGTCTGGAGTGCAGTGGCACGATCTCGGCTCACTGCAAGTTCTGCTTCCCGGGTTCACACCGTTTTCCTACCTCGGCCTCCCAAGTAGCTGGGACTACAGGCGCCCACCACCACGCCTGGCTAATTTTTTGTATTTTTAGTAGAGACAGGGTTTCACCATGTTATCCAGGATGGTAATTTGGATTTTTTTTTGAGACAGGGCCTCCCTTTGCCACCCAGATTGGAGTACAGTGGCACCACCATAGCTCACTGCAGCCTTGAACTTCTGGGTTCAAGGGATCCTCCAGCCTCAGCTGGCTGAGTACCTGGAACCTCAGGTGAGCGCCACTATGCCCAGCTAATTTTTTTTTTTTTTTAAATTTTAGTAGAGATGAGGTCTTGCTATGCTGCCCAGCCTGGTTTCAAACTCCTGAGCTCAGGTGATCCTCCTGCCTCAGCTTCCCAAAGTGTTGGGATTACAGGTGTGAGTTGCCACACCCAGCCATCCCTAATATCTTTTAAAAAATACCTTTTTAGGCTAGGCTCAGTGGCTCATGCCTGCGTTCACAGAACACAGAACTCAAGGAGAATCTCTTGATCCCAGGAGTTTGAGGTCAGCCTGGGCAACATAGGGAGACCCTGTCTCTACAAAACAAACAAACAAACAAAAACAGAAAAAAAAAACCAGAACTTAGCTGTGTGTGGTGGCATGTGCCTGTAGTCCTCCCAGGAACTCAAGAGGCTGAGGTGGGAGAATTGCTTGGACCTGGGAGGTCAAGGCTGCAGTGAGCTGCAATCACACCACTGT